TGGGGCTTGAATTACCTAGAAAAGAAATAGGAGTGATACCTATTAACCACAAAAGGATTGTGGTCTGAATTTCTTAAAAACTACAACAACAACAACAACAACAACAACAACAAAACAGAGCTGTCACTCTCCCTGTGGAGCACGTCCTTGACACGCCTGCTCAGTGCTTGTTTCAGTTCTCTCTTACTTCCTGCATGATGTTTCCTTCTCTTCAGACACCTAGTACCTGTCACCTGTAAAGCATCTGTAGGGCAGCATTTGATGGGAAATTTACTGAGAAAACATTGGGCTGTCTACGTGAGATCTGGATTCTCCTTCTGCTTCCATCTCCATATGACTCTAAGTCATCTCTGTGTCCCACAGTTCTGAGCCCCGCTCTGTTCCTGTGAGGTTACAGACTGTAATTCTCACATGGGTTTGTAAGCTGAGAGGTGTTACATGCAGGTAAGAAGTAGTGCATTTTCCATGAGAATTCACAGTTGCAACCCTCAGCTCTAAGTGTGTGATGAGACACTGGCAATGAATATCCGCCATAAGCAGGCAGTTTAGGGAAATGCAGTGTTGTTGTTGACACACCCTCCCTGGTACCTACCATAATACATATGCTAGTTCCTTGCTGCACCTGCTACAGTGCCTGGCATAAAGCCTGCAGTTTCTGAAGTCTATTAGATGATGAGTAAATGCTTGGTGAATGGTTATTCTCCATGGTTAAGAGTATGACTGCTTCCCCAGACTATAAACCTACGAAGAATTAAAGTGTTCTCTGTCACCGCTCTTTACTTTATGAGAAACATAGATAAACATTTGAAAAGAAGCTCTATTCCAGTTTAATATTTTCTACGACACTCACAGCATCAATATGAAAATATGAATTGCCTCTAGGAAAGAGTACATTACCATGTCGTTTTACTTTCAAAATAATTATAGTGTTTGTTAGTCAATATTTCTTTTCCTTCCAAATCCTGTTCCACATACCATTTAACATGGTCATATTCAGTCAGTTTACATGCTTTGTAGACTTGGATTAAAAAAAGTAAACCCTTGCATAAGTGTTAATACACAAGGATCTGTCATACAAAGGAAATATCATTTTTCAAAGTTTAAAGAGTAATTTTAATGTGGAGTATAAAAAGAAATGGTCTGTTAAATAAGACAGAGAGATAATATACACATATACATATAAACACGCACAACACAGACACATGTAAAATCTATTACTTACGATAAATACCTACAAGTTCATTCAACAAATATTTATTGGACACTTACTACATGTATCAATCTACGTCCGTTCACACATCATGAAAAGTGACTCTGTTAAATGCCCTTGATGCCTGACATTTTATTACCAAACAGTGGCAACTCATCCCTCCATGACGTGAATGACCTTCCCACCCCTTTGTGATTCCCCTCCAGGCATTCTCATGCCTTCTTCTCCCCTCTCCCTGCAGCATCCATCATCTGTCCATTGCTAATAGAATAAGGAAATTTGGGGACATAAATTTCCCAACGAAAAGAGAATACATAAACATAATAAAATACATTCTGCCAAAAATGCCTTTTCCTTTCAAATAGGTTAAAGGTTTATTTTTTAATTATCCAAAATTAAAAGTTTACAAAAATGTGGAAACAAAGTGTAGCAGCTTTATTATATTCCCTTATTTTGAGGTGGGATCCCCCAGCAGATCAGAAAAACAGAGTGTATGTAAAGTAAGAATCAGACATGATTAATGAAACTGATTTAGAAATAGCTATGAAAACAAAATGTTATGACAACTCACAGAGAAAAAAATGTGCCAATGAGTGTGTATATGTCCATGAATGACTGAAAAATTGTGCTGAACACTGGAATTTGACACAACATTGTAAAATGATTATAAATCAATAAAAAATGTTAAAAAAAAAAGAAATAGCTATGAAAACATTACTCACCCTTTCTTCCTTCCTTCTGTCCTTCCTTCCTTCCTTTCTTCCCTTTCCTTTCCTTTCTTTTGTTTTTTCTTTTCTTTTCTTGCTTCTCAGTGCACTATCTAGGAATAAACACTAAAGGAAAATATTTTTAAAAATTAAAGTCATTATTTACAAATATATTCAACACAATTATTGAGAGCTGTGGAAAATTTAGAGACTACATGGTATGTTCAACAGTGGAGAAATTGATGATTACAATAGAGCGCATGCCACTGGTTAATACGTACTTTTTAACAGAAGTACTTAAAAAGACTGTGCCATATCATAGGAAAATTTTTATATTGTATTATTAAGTATGGAAAATTTTGGATGCAAACTTGATTTATTCAATTAAAAAAAACCACTTATCATTTTTTTAACAGAGATACTGGGGATTGAACCCAGGACCTCATGCACACTAAGCATGCTCTCTACCACTGAGCTATACTTTCCCAAGGAATTATATAATTATTCTAACTAATTTAATTCTAACTAATTATGTAATTATTCTAACAAGTATATCTCACTAAAAAGGCAAATACTTTTATTTCTATGTTGTTACTGTTGTAGTTGAGTCTGTCTTTCTTGATGCTTTCATGCTGAAGAGGGACTGAAATCATAGATGGGTGAGGATGTGGGGTGATCGTATAATTTGTAAGATCCATTTAATCCTAAGAGTCTATGGTTATATGATTTCCTGGGGAAAATTTTTTCTCACCTATGGACTTGCTGACATATCTCCATGGCCAGGGCCCCAGGCAGCTCACCAAGAAAACAATAAATTTGTAAGATTAAAAATGCCAACTTGCTCAGCTACAATAACTGCCTTTGCTGATTTATAAGTTGTTCCTTCAGAGAAGATGTTTCTCTTGATCCTTAAAAATGCTGCCACATTTTCTGTTTCTAGGCCAATTCTGTGAAGTTTTTAGCTGTGGCTAATTGGACCTCAGGGGTATTTCACCACCACGAGGAGATCTTGCCAACAACCCAATTATTTCACTTAATTGAACTCCAGAGAAGAACTCTTACAGCATTCATCTTTAATTTTGAACTCCTCTTTAAATATGGATGAAGACAATGCACTATGAAAAGAGAAAAAAAATAAATAACTTGACCACTTCTGAATTTAAGTATTTGATAATAAATGAGCATAATACTGAGTCCAAATATTGACTATTGTATAAACTAATCATTTAGGTGGGGAACTATCTGACTTAAAATTTTTTCAGGATAAGATTTATTTTAATTGATCTAATCATATTTAAAATATGGTTTGAGATGTAAAAGTGATAACTGTGAACCTTATTATAATTTTGACACTTCAGACCTGGTAAAACTTACAGTAGTTTTTTCAAATTGTTTGTATCTTGAGTCAGTTCTGGAATTAGATAAATATGATAATTATGAAAATAATTCCATTATTCAATTATATTTGAAGATGGTAAAATGCAATTTTGTCATTGAAATTTAATCTCATGGTAGTTCTATGGACAAGGAAAAGTAGGCAATAATAGTCACTATTTATAACAAGAAAATATAAGACAGGGAATAAGAACACTATTTGCCTAGTGGAGGTGAAGTAAGAAGCCAGGCCACTAAATCCTGGACCAAATTTCTTGTCTTTAAATTAATGCTTTACAACAGAAGTACCACAATACACTCATGCTGCCATCAACTGTAAGACCTATTATAATTATCTACTAAAATGAATAAATATGAATATTTGAAATGATTTTGTAAATAAATTTAATCCAATTCAACTCAGGAATATTCCTGTATAGAACCACATTCAAATGTGCTTTCTTAAATAGGAAGAAGAATAAATTATACATAACTCTGAACTGGCTACATAGAATCTGATCACTTTCAGCAGCAGGTGTCATAAAGGAAAAGAGTTTAAGAAAACTGAAACTGCATGAGTAAACATGATTTTTAATATTAGAGTGCCAAAATTACATTTGCGATGGTAGATGCCAAAGACTGTTTGAGTGAGGGCTTGAAACTACCTAAAGAATTCCAAGGAATATGGATTTGGCTGAAGTGTCAGTGTGAAAATGTCTTTCAATTTGAACTTGTCTTTTAACTCTGGACTGAAAACCCGAATCAGATCAGAGAATTAGCATGTGCAGACATCATTCCCAACCTCATAAAAGCTTGAAATCCATTCACAATGACCCATTAATTGGTCATCCAGCCTCTACTTAAATAGCTACAGCACTGGGTAGAGTGAAGACTTTAGGACCCCAATCCTTGTCCTAAGCTCCCCAAGCAACCCAGCTCCCCAGGCCCTAGAGAAGCACAGCATGGAAGGAGGGCAGAGTTGGGTGTAAAGCAATGAGGATGGTCCAGGAAAATAATTTTTCAAAAGAGGAGTTCCTGGAAATATGCTGGGAAAATCTGTATCCAGGATACAAATCCAAGGCCAGAGTCATTTAAAACCCTGGAGAGTCACAGATTCTCCAACTTGAAAGGTAAATCAGAAAGAAAGCAGAAGGAATTATATGTGGATCTTATCACAGTTGATCGGAAACTTGTTGAGGTCTGATTTGATGTTTGATAGGTTCAGGGACTAATTTCACAAAAATCAAATACCTGGCACAATGTTCTGATAGCAGCTTCATGCATCTCACTAGGTAGAGGGACATGTTCTCAAAATAGCAAAGGACTCAAAAGCAGAGTTCATATTGTTAAGTCCAATCCAGAGACAACTGTAGCCAAAAGGACAACTGCAACTTTGTTTACCAGAAAAAAAAAGTTTGGGGAGGTAGACTGTGGTGTCACAACTTCCAATTTTACTTCTAATTGAAGTAGAAGCAGATATGACAATATTTACAGCAATAAATATATTGCGTTGGGCAGAATCACAGAATTTGGAAACATCTTCCATTTTACCTAAGTAAACCACTTATAGAAATACGAAGAGCTGTTTAAGGTGATGAAAGAAGATGATGTCATAGTGTGAAATAAAACATGTGTCTCTTGATCCTGAAGCTAGCGCTCCTAGTCTCCATCACATTTTTATTCATAATATGCTCACTAAATAGTGTTACATCAGAGAGTCTGTTGATTTCTTCAATAAAACATATGGTATCTATGAAGTGGGAGGCTGGATCTTTCTGTCAAAAGAGGAAACTGTAACACATCTATGACATCTACATATGTGTATTTTGGTAGCAAACTTCATTTTTGAAAAGAGCCACAATTAAATCACAACAGAGTCTAAAAACATAGGTAAGTTGTTTATCTGAGAAATACTCTCTTTGGTCAACAGTGGATTAAACATTCCTGTATTTTTATATCTGTCAGAAATATTATCCAAAAGCAGTTTTTGAAGACAATTCCAGATTCAAAGAACTAAATGTAAAGCCAAGTTTCTAATAATGAAATTGCTTTACAAGTATACTTTACTGAAAGAATATCTATATTTAATTGATACTAATAATTGTTAATATAATATAGTATCATTTCATATGGCATATAATCAAAAGTATTTTTATATACCAAAACATAATCAAATACCACACTAAGGAACTCTGTATAATGTAAAGATAATAGGATGTGGGTGACACTGTTTGAGCTCAAAGCTGAGTTTCATGTTCTATGATTGAATTATTTAATCTTCTGATCCTCCATTTTTTTCCTGTAAAATGAGAACACTAAATTTTAAATTTATAATGCTATTGAGACCATGTGAGAACACGCTTACATTTCATATCAGTTTTAATACAGTACAATTTTTAAAACCACTGATAACTTTTACCCAAGAGAACAAGAAATCCAATATAATTTTAAATATTAGGTACATCAGGGGTGTGCCAAGAGAGCATTGCCAAGTATCTTCTTTCTATAACAAATTCCACATCCTAGATACCAGCAGGCCATACAGCTTTTGAGTAACAACTGCTTACCACAGGCACATTATACAACTCTATTACTAGAGAGGAAAATTTTCAATTACTACAAAACAAAGGAGGATCTGGTGAAGTGCCTTTTTTTTCTTATAACATGTAAAATGGTTGAGAGAGTATTAGATTTGGATTTAGAAAAAAGGGGAGCTGTATACTAGCTGCATCTCTGATTTTGGGCAGATTACTAACTTTTTTGAACTTCACTTTTCTTCATCTGTAAAACAGGAATAATCCTAATAATACCTAACTTGTAGAGCTGGTGTCAGTGACAAGTGAGAGGTTTGGGAAGGGGTTTATAGTAATAAAATATGGAAAAGTAAAGATCATGATAGAAATAAATCTTCTTATTGGGTCATTTATTATCTGAAGTTGCATTCCTGTTTAATAGCATTCTAATGGCATTTTTACCCCTGAATTCCTTACTGTGTAGATAACATGGCTTAACACGGGAGTAACAAGAGTATAGAACACTGCTATGGATTTATCCATGGGAAAAGTAGCTACTGGTCTCAGATACATAAAAATATAGGGCACAAAGAACAAGACATCAACTGTGACATGGGAGCTACAGGTAGACAGGGCTTTTTTCCTCCCAGCAGAGATATGAGTCCTAAGGCAGTACAGGATGACCACAGAGGATGCCAATAACATTACAAAAGTGAACCCAGGGATTATGCCACCTATGGCACCAACCAAGAGACCAACAAAGAAAGTGTTAGTGCAGGCAAGTTGTATCAGGGGAAAATGTCACACATGAAGTGATCCATGCATGATGTTGGGGTTACAGAATGGGAGCCAGAAAGTGACTAGCATCTGTCCAATAGAGTGGAGAAAACCCACTGCCCAACACACCCCCACCAGGAGGCAGCATATGCAGTGATTCATGATGGTCACATGGTGCAGAGGTCTACAGTTGGCCATGTAGCAGTCATAGGTCATGACCACAAGGAGGACAATCTCTGAAGCTCCCAAGAAATGTTCAGTACAGAGCTGTGTCATGCAGCCACTGAAGGAGACAGCTTTTGAATCAGAGAACAAATCAGCTAACATTTTAGGGATTATGGAAGAGAAAAAGCAAGCAGCTATCAATGACAAGAAAGTCGGGAAGAAATACATGGGAGTGTCCAAAGTTGGGCTGCAGATGCTAGTAACCACAATGAGCAGATTCCCTGTGACAGTGACAATGTAGGTGATAAGTGACTCAAAAACAGAATTCTCTGCATCTGAAGACTGTAAGTCCCATTAGAATGTATTGAGTCACATTCACTCTGTCTTCTTTCATTTCAATGGTGAAGATGAATTCAGAGTTAGAGAATTAACCTGTAAAGACAATATTTTTAGTAGAAAGGTGACAAGAAGTCAATATTTTGGGTTTTTCAGGCAACACACAGCATTTTGATAATATAAGCTGTTTTTTCCATAATGTGCAAGAGGAGAAGAAACATGGTAGAAAAGTGTGAACATTTGAGGATGTTTAATTAAGCTTAATAGACTCAGTTTAATAGATTAGTTAGTAGAGCCATGTACCAGACATTTTGTGGCTACTTCTTACATGTTTCCTCATTTAATCCTCATGATCAACTATGATGAGACATATTTTATGGCTGAGATAAAGCAAAACAATTGATTTGCCTAAGAATATACAGTTAGCAGGTGACAAATCCTGGATTTGAATCCAAGGAGCCAACTTTACAGTTGATATGTCTTTCTTGTGTCTGAATTTCCTATGGAGCTAAATGATTTATTCAATAAAATCCTGGAAAACAGGAGAGTGAGAACAATGTATTTACAGAGTGCCCCTGGGTCATCATTTTTAAGGAGCAATAGTGCCCTGTGCTCTTCAGAAGACTTGTGCCCCCAAGCATTTGTATCATCAGCAGACTGACTCTAGCGCAGGGCTTTAAAAGGGTTGCTTCTGCCAGTCTTTCTAACTCACTACACTTTCCTTGAAATGTGAGAAGAAATGGAATTATCTGCAGTTACACTTTCACTTACTGTACCATTGTAGATACAAAAATTAATTCTTGGAATGCTTCCAGAAGGAGGGGACTTCATTCCTGAACAACCTAACGCATCACTCAAAGCACCAACACCAATATATATATATATATATATATATATATATATATATATATATATATA